CAAAACCCTTCCCCGCCCCCCCAGTTCTTCCCGGCCCCGCACCCTCCGCCAGGCGCTCGGGAATTTCCGCCTGGAATTTGCAGCCCACGCGGATCTCGCCCTGGTCGGCCAGGAGCGTCTTCTGCACCGGGTCGAACACCAGCGAGTAGAAGAAGCAGTCCTGAAAAAGGGGCAATTAGGGGCGTTAATTAATTAATTGTCACCCCTCTGTGTCCCTCCATGTCCCTGTGTGCCCCCATGTGTCCCCTCTGTGTCCCTATGTCCCTCCATGTCCCCACGTATCCCGTGTGTCCCCCCATGTCCCCACGTGTCCCCTCTGTGTCCCCACGTGTCCCTCAAACAGCCACGAGTAGAAGAAGCAGTCCTGAAAAAGGGGCAATTAGGGGCGTTAATTAATTAATTGTCACCCCCCCGTGTCCCTCCATGTCCCTGTGTGCCCCCATGTGTCCCCTCTGTGTCCCTATGTCCCCCCATGTCCCCATGTGTCCCCTCTGTGTCCCTATGTCCCCCCATGTCCCCACGTGTCCCCTCTGTGTCCCCACGTGTCCCTCAAATACCCGCAAGTAGAAGAAGCAGTCCTGAAAGAGGGGCAATTAGGGGGTCTTAATTAATTGTCACCCCGCTGTGTCCCTACATGTCCCTGTGTGTCCCCATGTGTCCCCTCTGTGTCCCTATGTCCCTCCATGTCCCCACGTATCCCGTGTGTCCCCCCATGTCCCCACGTGTCCCCTCTGTGTCCCCACGTGTCCCTCGAATATCCTTGAGTAGAAGCAGTCCAGAAAAAGGGGCAATTAGGGGCCTTAATTAATTAATTGTCACCCCCCTGTGTCCCTCCATGTCCCCGTGTGTCCCCATGTGTCCCCTCTGTGTCCCTATGTGTCCCTCAAATACCCACGAGTAGAAAAAGCAGTCCTGAAAAAGGGGCAATTAGGGACCTTAATTCATTAATTGTCATTTCCCCTATATCCCTCCATGTCCCTGTGTGTCCCCATGTGTCCCCTCTGTGTCCCTATGTCCCTCCATGTCCCCACGTATCCCGTGTGTCCCCCCATGTCCCCACGTGTCCCCTCTGTGTCCCCACGTGTCCCTCAAATACCCGCAAGTAGAAGAAGCAGTCCTGAAAGAGGGGCAATTAGGGGGTCTTAATTAATTGTCACCCCGCTGTGTCCCTACATGTCCCTGTGTGTCCCCATGTGTCCCCTCTGTGTCCCTATGTCCCTCCATGTCCCCACGTATCCCGTGTGTCCCCCCATGTCCCCACGTGTCCCCTCTGTGTCCCCACGTGTCCCTCAAATACCCGCAAGTAGAAGAAGCAGTCCTGAAAGAGGGGCAATTAGGGGGTCTTAATTAATTGTCACCCCGCTGTGTCCCTACATGTCCCTGTGTGTCCCCATGTGTCCCCTCTGTGTCCCTATGTCCCTCCATGTCCCCACGTATCCCGTGTGTCCCCCCATGTCCCCACGTGTCCCCTCTGTGTCCCCACGTGTCCCTCGAATATCCTTGAGTAGAAGCAGTCCAGAAAAAGGGGCAATTAGGGGCCTTAATT